AACCCACGAGATGTCTTGCTGCGAGTCCATTATTTCCACGTGAAAGAACAGATCCTCAAGGCCAACCGAACCGGACGGAGTGGGAACGAGAAATTCAAAGATGTCCTGATATTTGCGGACCTATCAGCGGAAACCCTGCGGAGAAGGAGATCGTACCGCAACATCACGGAGACCCTCCGTCATCACACCATTCAATACCGCTGGGGCTACCCAGTGAAACTCCTGATCCACAAAGGCGGCAAGATACACGTGATAACCTCTAACCAAGAGGGCGTAGAGCTTCTGCAAACTTGGGGACTAACCGAGACCACGTCCGAAAAAGGACCATTACGAACCGACAAGACCCAAGGGGAATGGAAAACGCCCAAGCCGAGACGGAACACCCAGCGACTGTTGCGATGAACTTTATGGGACACTCTCCACAGGTTTGGTCTGCGGGGACAGGTCGACATGTAAGGACTGAGAGCGGGGTTCATACACCCGACAGCTAGGAGATGGGAAATAGGGGAATACGCCCATGGGCCCAGATAATAGGGTAACACCGGCGGGACAGATATTAGACAGATACTAGACACACACGGTTCTATGTAAAGACGTACGCGAACGAGACACAGGTCACGAGGACCTACAGCGAATTTAGACGGACCCCCTTTCTCAAAGCCCTGATGAACCCCCCAACCACAGGCCCCACAACCACAAAGACAACATGACGCAAGACAGACTAAACAAAATATACCAAGGGAAACAAAAAAAAAAAAAAGTCACAAACATACTGGGAGACCGGAACAACAGACCCCCCCATAACCAGATGAACCATGAACACCACCCCACAGGGCAGCCCCTATGACCGCACTGAGACAGACTAAACCCTCTCCATAAGCACCGACCCTCTCCCTGTAGCCCCCAACCGACCTACAGTGCAAGCAGTTACCGAACTCTGGCCACCGCTGCGGGACGGGCTCAGACCTAGACCGGCCGGACACGTCCACCTACCCCCTAACCAAGGAGGTTAGACCCATGACCTCCAAGTTGATACCTCTGTACGCCCCAACAGTGGCGTTCACATGTTGTTTTACGTTTGTATTGATTATGTTATGGTTTATGATTGTATGTTTTTTAACCAAATGTGTCAGCACTGCACTCCAACATCACATGGCAAGCCCTTTTAG